GATCTTGTCACAAACACACGGGTTTCCTCCGGGTCCTCCGGTTTCCTCCCGGTCCAAAAACACCTCCATTAAAAAAGATCAGTAATCTCAGAGAGGTTTGTCTTGTTGAATAAAAGTGAAATAAAATATTAAACATTACAAATCAAATGTTAAACACCATCGCACTCTGTTTATAAAACACATAAAGCATCAAAACATGGACTCAAAACTATCCCTGGTAGTCTAGTGGTTAGGACTCGGCGCTCTCACCGCCGTGGCCCGGGTTCGATTCCCGGTCAAGGAGGAAATTTTTTTGTGGGCTGAGACATATATATAACCTGATATCACAGGTTATAAATATACCCTGCGGAAGTGATATGTCACAGTAGCTGCTTGCTACAAACTTAATTGTTTCGTGAGAATCAGTCAACAATAAACAGCATTTAATTCCCTTAATTTTCAAAAAATATATATATTATTAATTGAATTGAATTAGTCCCAGTTAGAAATGCCTAAACTTGTGCCTAACACAATGGAAAAAATCAAGCCACTGGCCAGCTCTTTGAATGTGAGTCGGTCTGTCCGCCACGAACGGAACAATGCAACAAAACAGTTGCCGAAAATTGTTTCAAGATTGCGCAAACATGACCCTGACAAAGAACTTGAAAACCAATTCTTGAAACAAGAATTAGACTTTCCTAGGAAAATGATTCCAGAGCTGAAAAGCACAATACAGGACACAATCTGCATAAAAGACAAAACAGACGAAAGATTGAAACGTGCAAAAGATACAAATATTGACCTGAAAAAACAAATCCAAGAGATGAACATTAAACTAACAGTGTCAGCAAATAAATGAAGAACTTCAGTCGTCAAATGCTCATCTGAAATGTTCTAAAACAAATTTAGAACAAACACTAGCTAGCTAGACCAATGACTATGAAGAGTCACTCCGGCAGCTAAGTCAGATGGCAGAAACGAAACAACAGAACTGCATAAATGAAGTTGTCGGTGACGCCGAGAAAAAGCAGTTGAAACTGAACAAAAGAATTGAAAGGCTGAAAAAACTGTTACACGAGGAAAAAACTGCGAGAGTAAAAGCAGAAGAGGATTTGGACAATTATATGAGGAAAAATCATCAAAATGCTTTATTTAACCGAGCCAACAATGCAGAACTGAGAAACAAGGATCTTCTAAAAGAAAATCGGAAGCAAAAGAACGACATTAAAATAATGACTGAACAACTAAAGAATTTGATCGAGGAACATAATGAACTAATCCGTGACTTCAATTTAGTTTGTGTAAAACTAAACAGCTCAGAATCTGAATGTAACGATATACGGTTTAAACTAGACAAATCTGAAAAGTTTTATCAAGAAAAATTTGATAAAAGTTATTCATACTTACAACCAAGCACTAAAATGTAAATATGATAGGATACAGCAGAAAGTCCAGGCTTTTAGAAATATGAGAGATACAAATGTAAAATTACAGAAAAAATGCCAAGACCAGTTAGCAACAATTCAAGCTGGCCAACGGCCATTTGAATTACTCAAAAAGGAAAACCCACGTAAAGATCATGACATCCTGAACCTAAAGAAAAGAGTGTGTCAAATATCGAAGCAAGTGCGCTTGCAGGAGACTGTCGAGCCTCTTGATTTAACTCAGAACTATGACGCCTTTCTCAAATGCCCTAAGCTGCTAAAAGAAAATTCTACATTGAAGAAAGATCTGAAAATCAAAGTGTTAAATGAAATATTAAACATTACAACTCAAATGTTAAACACCATCTCACTCTGTTTATAAGGCGCATAAAGCATCAAGGTCCACAAACATGGACTCAGAACTATCCCTGGTAGTCTAGTGGTTAGGAATTGGCGCGCTCACCACAGCGGCTCGGGTTCGATTCTCAATCAGGGAGGAACTTTTTGAGGGCTGAAATGGGGTGGAGGTATGACAGCCGACTTGGGACCAGAAAGTTGCGGTTCGACTCCCAGCCATTCCCACGTGTCTTGGTGTCTCTGAGCAAGGCATCTAGCCCCTGATTGCTCCCTGGGCGCTCAGTGACAAAAAGCCTGGTGAACAATTAGGGATTGGATGTCTTGCTCAGGAGCACCACGTGATGTGGGCATGGCTGGGAGTTGAACAATGCCTTTCTGGTCCCAAGTCAGCTGCCCTACCTCTACTATCCTGGACCCCATCATTGTTATAATAATTTCATCATTGTATGGGAACATGCAATGATGACAACAAATAGCACAGGAAACATGGTCTTTCCTTTCATTGTTATGCTGATGACTCTCAGATTTATCTGCCATTAACACCTAACAGTTCCTCCTCCATTCGCCCTTTGTTAAAATGTCTTGATGACATCAAGACTTGGATGGCTGCGAACTTTTTGAGTTTTAATGATCAGAAGACTGAGGTCATTGTGTTTAACCCTAGCTCTGCCACTGTCACTGATCCTGCAAACCTGGACTCCCTTCAGCCATATCTAAAACAGTCTGTTACCAATCCGGGATAGTTTTAGACTCAGACTTTAAGTTTAATAAGCAGATAAATTCTGTTCTTCAAAAAAGCTTCTTTCAGCTAAGGCAGATAAGCTCAAGTCCATCCTGTCCACATCCGACCTTGAAAAATTAGTCCATGCATTTATTACAAACCGACTGGACTACTGTAACTCGCTTTATGCTGGAGTCAGTCAGGTCTCTCGCTCACGTCTCCAGCTTGTCCAAAATGCTGCAGCTCGGCTACTAACAGGAACTCGCAGGTTTGAGCACATTACTCCAGTTCTGTCCTCTCTTCACTGGCTTCCTGTGCGTGTCAGAGTTGATTTTAAGATTCTTCTGCTGACATTTAAGTGTGTTAATGGCCTTGCACCCTCATGCCTCTCCGACCTTTTTCATCCTTATACTCCATCTCGGGCCTTGAGATCATCAGAGTGAAATCTTCTTATTGTCCTATAAATATATTTTATCTAATAGAATTAAAAGAATTTATATTTAAAATTTTACATAAATATTATCCAGTTAAAGACTACATTGGCCATTTCTACCCAAATGTCAGCAAAAGCTGCTCTTTTTGCCAGACTGAAGATGAAAGTATCGAACATCTATTTGTAGATTGTTTTCACAATACAATGTTCTGGTCAGAAATACAAAAACTGCTTACTGAAAAATTTTTTAAGTACATCGTGTTATCAAAAATGCAAATATGGCTCATCTTTAATAATTCATTCTTTTCTTCAGACAAACTATTCATAATAAATCTAATCATAATCATAGCCAAATATTACATACACAAAATGAAGTGGAATGAAAAAATACCCTCATTTAATAATTTTAAAGAAACTGACCTAAAAATATATATTGCCTCTATTGAAAAGCTTAATTTTAACAATAAAAAACTTCTAAGAACAAAAACTCTTATGCAGAAATTTAATTTTATCCTATAAGCAGATCCCTTTGTTGTTTATTATTCCTTTTCTCTTTGTATTGTATTTCTTTATTGTTTCAGATCCTCTGCTATTTAAACTTGAAGTTATTTTTGTATATGTGTTGATATAGTTGCATTTATATTTATTTAAGAACTGTAAAGGTCTAGTTTGATAGGGTCTGTGATAGTTATGTATCTTTTTTTTAATTGTGTTTTGATGCTTCTTTGGATTGGAAGATTTTTGTAAT